ATAAGATGTGGTATATATACACCATGGAATACCACTCAGCCATAAAAAAGACAAAATCATGCCATCTTTGACAACGTGAATGCACCCTGAAGGTATTATGCTAAGCAAAATAAGTCACATAGAGAAAAACAAATACCATATGATTTCAGTCATATGTGGAAGATAAATATGGAGATAAGGATAACAGATTAGTGGTTCCTAGAGGAGAAGGAGATACGGGAGGGCGAAAGGGGTAAAGGGGCACATACGTGTGTTGACAGATAAAAACTGGAATGTTGGTGGTGAACTTGGTGCAGTCTATACAGAAACTGAAATATAGTGATGTACAACTGAAATTTACACAGTGTTGTAAGCCAATATGACCCCAATAAAATAATTTTTTTAAGTTGTTTTTCATGAGTTTCAAAATTATTAAAATTTAAAAATTGATAAGTAAAATTTAATAATTGATAAGTATCAAATATCTAAAATTGTTTAAATAGATCTGAGACTAATTTTTGAAATTTAATTAAATTTTAAATATTTTTATAAAAGTTAAAACAGTTTGCAATTCTGGGGTTCAGTGTCCTGGTTAATTCTAGTAAAGAACAGGTATTACAGTTATTGTGCTACATACTACCTATATGCATATTTAAGAGTAATATAAATTGTTTAATATTGCCAAGTATTCCCCAGACATCGTGGGCAACTGTTGTGAGTTCCATGCTAATTCACAAGGACTTCCAGAACCACAAATGGCAACATGAATAGGATCAAGAAAATGGACACTTGAGACTTCTGGGAAACTATACTTTCCATAATATTCTTGTGTAATAATAGATTATGCAAGAATCTATTACATTCTGGGTATCTGAGGAGGATTTGACAAATTAACGTGCCTTCCCCTGCCCCAGCACCTCTGTGGCTCACACTCCCCCTGTGCTCTGAGGCAGCACTGTTCTACTCGGCAGTAGCACAGCATGGAGGCGCTGTCACCTTGTGTTTCCAGAACACAGAACAAGAGCTGTGAGGAGTGCTTGCCTGGGGACTGACAGTGTTATGTGTTCTTTACATGTAGAGTTATGTGTCCTCTAAGCCAGCACAAAGCGCCAGATCCCCCGTCACAGACGCACCCGTTTGTTAACTGCGGTGTTCGTGATTTGTGGGGCTCTGCCCTGGATGAAACATAATTTATTTAACAGCGTATTTAGCCTGATGTGTAACTTCTAAATATTTGGACGTATGGTACATGGACCTCCATTTGCACTCTTGCCCCGTGGCTGCACAGTGTTAGAGATGGTTTGAAGTTGGAGGTAAATATTCGTGAGTCATTAACATATAAGTGGATATCACATAGAGAAAGTGTGACCAGGGGGAAAAGTGAGTGAATCTGATGACTGCTAACATCTCACCTTTCCTTACAATGTGTGCTTCCTTCTCTCCCTACTCTACCTCCTTCCTCTTCTCTGATCTCACACTCATTTTCTTTTTTCTATTTCCTTTTTAATTTGCTCCTTCCCATGCCTCAGAACTACTGGCACCACAAGCAACAGATATCTGTAACAGTGACTACTGCCTGCGCTGGATAGATGCTTGGGGTGGGGCTGGGGACACCAAATCTTGAAAGAATCAATCTCTTGGGAAATAGCAAGTATAAATAGTGAAGATTCCATGGATGAGATTGCCTTTAAGATGTGTCCTGGGAGGACAGGAGCGTATTTTATAGGAAGCATATTTTGAGGGGCTGTTTTTCTTTCTTTTTCTAAATATCGTCTTTATCCTGTTTAGAGTAGTTGAACCTTCATGCTCTTTAGCCTTAAAGCATATTCACTTGAGATATTCAATATTAGACCCACAGTCAATCAAAATAAAATCTTTTCCTTGACGTGGAATGAGATGTTTAGAATGTGATGAAACAAATATTATCGCTGATATTGCTAAGGTGTTGATGTTTTGTTGGGGTCATCGCTGATTTAGTTTGAGAGGGCTTTTTGGAAGAGATGAATTTTTGGTTGCATATGAAAGATTAAGAGGCTAAAATGGATGAAGTAATGTGACACATATTTTAAAGCAAATGAAAACTGTACTAAAAGTGTATTACACCGTGGGCTAGCTTCGACAGTATGTGCATCCGGTTAACTATAGAATTTGCCTTAGCTTCCCATGATGATTTTATCAAACAAGAATGCAGTAACACGAACATTATAAAACTCTTAAAACACCTGAATAAAACTGTGCATAGCCTTCAGTAGAACGATTCTGAAGTGGTTGCTTTTGCTTAACTGTAGGCTGGTAAAACTAATCTTGAGAATCTTCTAGGTCAGTAAAGACTTTTATGTCACTGGCTCAGCTTGAAACAGTGAGCTAATTTCTGTGCTGGGAAACTGCATACGTCACTTTCAGGGGAGGTAACATCTCTGCCTACAGAATATCAAAAAGTAGATTAGTAAGTAGCATTTAGTGAAATGAAAATATAGTCCAGTTAAATGTCATGCTGCAATGTTAAGCACAGAGTACCACATGTAAATGAGGAGGCTCCTTGGTTAGATGGTGACTTTGAAAGTGTTAGGAGGTGATCCGCGGTATAATTTTTCTGGCACGATACTCCTACACTCGGCCAGCTCCAGTGAAGTCAGTGGAGGGGATCCCACAATTGCCACAGATAAAATGACTGTCAGAAGTTGGGAATAAAGTCTGTAGATGGCCCATGCATTTTTCTCCTTCTCAGTTGCTACTTGCTCTGGGTTGTTTTACTTCTGATCAGTGCAGGCGGCTAGGGAAGGTGAGTTTCAAAATAGTAAGCCTCAGAGTAACAGTTACTATTTTCTTGGGAACTATGTGCTAGGCATTGAGTTAAGGATTTCATGTTCATTGTTTCATTTAATCCTCACTAAATGAGGATAAGGCACAGTGTTAGTGTATCTGAAAGGTATGGTTGGAAAATTTGAGACTTAGGGAGGTTAAGAAATTTGCTCAAGGTCACATGACCGTCAACAGCAGAGCCTGGACGATCCAAGTCAGTTGGACAGCAAAGCTTGGGCTCATTTTTTTTTTTTTTGAGGAAGATCAGCCCTGAGCTAACATCCGTGCTAATCCTCCTCTTTTTGCTGAGGAAGACCGGCTCTGAGCTAACATCTA